GAGAGGAACAGAGAGGGAAAGAGAGAAATATCGATGTGAAAGGGACACATCGAGCGGCTACCAGCCGCACGACCAACCAGGGCCGGGGACAAACTGCAACCAAGGTACATGCCCTTAGCGGGAACCGAACCCAGGTCTCTCTGGACCACAGGCTGATGCTCTAACCGCTGAGCCAAACCGGCCAGGGCAACCTGTCTCTTAATATTCTTGGATAAGAGTGAGGAACAGTAGAGGGTGGGAACCCCTCTTTTTCTTCCCTACTGCAGCCTGTCGGACCTGCACATAGAGCATGTGTTCTTCACTCCATCACTGAAAATGCCTGGGCTTTGGATTGCAAGTAACTTACCTTTTCTGCCTTTTTTTCTGGGTGGGTGAAGGGAGGAGAAAAGTTTAGGGAAATGCCCAGAGGCTTTCAGAGAAACCTAAATTGCCTGGGAGAAATGCTTTGTGCTTATAATGTGGCTCCCTGGAGATCCCAGACCCTGGGACACTTCTGTGATGGAGTTCAAAAATGGGGTGAACAGAGGGCTAAGGAGCTGGTGTGTAGTTCTGCAGCAGTGATGACTGGTATGGTCCTGCTTTCCAAAACAAAATGATGGAGAGGAGGTGCACACTCAGGTCCTGACAAATGACGGGGTGGTCAGCTGATTCTTAGGTGTGAGTCAGGGGAGAGGCTTGACACAATCTGTTTCCCACAGTGAGGGATCTGCTTTAGGAGGCAGATAGAAGCCAAGGACTTTCTGCTTTGTGGATGCCAATTCGGAGACAAGAATAACTATTTTAAAATAGCCCTGGTTGGTTTGGCTTAGTGGTTAGAGCGTCGGACCGTGGAACAGAGAGTCCTGGGTTCAGTTTCCACTAAGGGCACATACCTCTGTTGCAGTTTGTCCCTGGCCCCAGTTGGGGTCGTGTGGGTGGCAACCATTCGATGTATCCCTCTCATCAATTTCTCTCTCTCTCTCTCTCTCTGTCCCTCTCCCTCTCTCCTTCTCACTCTATCTGGAGATAAATGCAAAAAATAACCTGTCTTCGGGTGAGGATAAAAGAAAAATTAAAATATTTTTTGGCAAGATGTGTGCATGGCTTTAAAAATAAGTTTACACTGTTGATTTTGCCCACTAACATCTTTTAAATGAAAATCTCCATTTTCATTTTTATAGTGAACATACATGCTTAACACCCAGATTACTAGCATTAAAAAAATACTTGCTTTATTAAATTTTTAAGCATCTAGTTGTTCATTTTGGCACCCATTAACCAATCTTCTTTGTTGATGTATTATTTAAAAAAAATAAAAACACTCCTAAATGATTCATGCATTGTAAGTTGAGAATTTGGTTTTCAATTTTTTTAGGTAAAATTTACATGCAATTAAATGCACAAACCCTAAGTGTAGAGTGCTGTATATACTATCATTTTGTCAGATTTTACAAAACCCAACATTTTTCTTTTTTTAAATCCTTACCAGAGTCTGGCTGGTGTGGCTCAGTTAATGAACATTGACCCATGCACCAAGAGGCAGGTCGACAGTTCTATTCCCGGTCACAGCACATGTCTAGGTTGTGGGCCCAATCCCCAGTGCGGGGCATGCAGGAGGTGGCCAGTCGATGTTTTCTATCATTGATGTTTCTATTTCTCTCTCCCTCTCCCTTCATCTTTCTCTAAAATCAATAAAGAAAAAGAAATAAAAATAAATAAATTCTCATTCGAGGACATTTCTTCATTTTTCTTTAGATAGAATTGGGGGGAGGGGAGGAGAGAGAGGGAGAAAGAGAGAAACATCGATGTGAGAGAGACACGTTGAGTGGCTGCCTCCAGCAAGACCCTGGCTAGGGCCAGGGACAAACGGCAACTGAGGTATGTACCCTTGACCTGAATCGAACCTGAGACTTATTGGTCTGCAGGCCGATGCTCTAACTGCTGAGTCATACCAACTAGAGCTAACTTTTTTCTTTTTCATGAAACCAAGTTTCAGATTAGCCGCAGAATTTCTAATAAATTATTTAAGAAATGCAGTTTTGCCCAGCCAGTGTGGCTTAGTGGATGGAGCTTGTTCCCATGAACTGAGAGGTCCCAGTTCGATTCCTGGTCAGGGCACATGTTTGGGTTGCAGGCTTGATCCCCAGTAAGGGCTGTATAGGAGGCAGCCAATCAATGTTTCTCTCATATTGATGTTTCTCTCTCACCCTTCTTCTGTCTCTAAAAAATCAATAAGAACATATTTAAAAAAAAAAGAAATGCAGTTTTTAAAGTAGTTAGGAATGAGAGCATATGATGAGCATATTGGAAAGATTATGTTCACTGTAAGATGGAGTTTGTTTCTTTACCACCCTGGCCCCTTCCTCCCACACACAAGAGGAGAAAAAAAAAAGTAAAACTATTGATTAGTGATTTTTTTTTAGGATCTAAAAGTAAAAGCTGAGTTGAATGAAAAGTGACTTCTAGCTTTTGCCATTTGCATGTTGGCAACCTCTTTTTTTCTAGTTTTTCTTTTTTTAAGAGATTCAAGGGGAAACAGTCTAGTCACAATATTTTATAACAAACATATACCCTCCCTCAATTCAGTATAGCAATTCTATAAAGTCCTAATAGATGATTCCATGGCAATTCATGGTGGTGTGTGTCCATGTGGAATTAAAGTCCCTATGAAGCAGCAGATTACTTGAGTATTATGAAGAGCACATTTGTCATACTCATCAGAAAAATGAGGAGATGCAGATGTTGATTTTTATGCATTGTTGTTTCACTGGGGCATCCTTACTTCCATTATCTGTTTTAATTGTTTGTACACCACCACTCTGTCGAGCTGCTTGAATAATGGAAAAGAAACCCCAAACTCAGGTAAGATAAGACTGTGCTCTGGTCCTGAGAGATGTCCTGTCTTTAAAAGGGAGGTGGAATGGAGATTTAGTTTTTCAAATATTTAGTATGTGCCCCCAAATTCCAGGTGCTGTGGGTAAAAAGAGAAACTTAAAGATAGAATCTCTATAAGGAGTATACTGTTTACTTGGGAAGAGATGAGATAGGTCATGAAGCATTAGGATAGTTCAGAAAGCAGTGACTGGCAGCTACAGTGATTAGAGGTTTCTGGAGGAGCATCTGCTTTGAGGTGGTTGGTTGGGTGTGGATCGAGAGAGGAAGAGAGGAGGAGTTTCAAGGTCCCTGTGGATTGCTCACAGCAAAGATGTGTTTTCCTTCAATCCAGCATGAATTGATGGCAGATTTGAGGTAGATTTGGCAAATAAGGTTGAAAAGATAAATTGGGGAGATTAGGTTGGGCCTTAATTGATAGACACTTTTAAAAAGCTATAGTACAGTCTGTAGTTTCCTCAATTTTTTTGCATTCCTCACTCATGATTAACAGAATTCATACCAGATTAGTAGTGCCTTTAAGTCAAAAGAAAGAACGGTATCCATTTACTAATTTATTCTTTAAAAGAATTTGTATAAACTGTTTCTAAATAGGTTTGTGAGAAATGATCAAAGAACATATGTGGAATAAAATTTTAATTTATAGGTTTAAATGCATATGTTACCTTTTCACGAGAAGGCATCTGACCAAGAAGAGTTGCACTCATTTTATTAATGGGATATGGTCACTGTTCAAACCACAAACAAACAAAAAGGCCAAACAGTATTTCTTGTGCATAGTTACTCATATTCTTAAGTGTTGCAAAATACCAAAGGGGAAAAAAAAAAAACAGAAAAGGGTGGGGGGAGTTGGTGGTTTTAAAAATATAGTGAGTAATTGACTTGTGCTGACTAATACCAGTGAACTCATAAATGAGTAACAATAGTGAATTTAGAAGGGATATAAGTAGAAGGAGAGCTATTTAAAGGTTGCTATAATACAAAAGGCAGCTGAATTGGTCACAAGTAAGGATTCTCTCTGGGAAATCTGAAGGTAGTTCAGTTCAACCCTACAAAGTTCGATTTCTCCTTTATCTAAAGGAGTCATCTTGGGAAAGTCATAGTTCTTTCAAGTATGGCTCCTTTTCCACTTGCTTCTTGGGGGGAATTCTTGGCAGATGAACTTCCTTCTGATTTTGCATTGAAGAAATGCCAGTGGTAAGAACAACCAATTGATTTTTTTAAAAAAATGTTGGTGGTGATGTTTATGGACTGGAAACACAAAAGGTTTGTTTGAATTGTTCTTAGTTTTTGTTTCTAATCATGGTATAAAAGTATAAGAACTGACCAACCATCCCTTTTTATAAACATAGATACTGTCTTCTTTTTAACTGAAAGATTACAGGATATAAATAGAGCAAAAATTCTGACCAAAATGTGAAGACAGAAAATGTGTTATGAAATTTTCAATTATGAGCTTTAATCAGAAAATTTTTTTATTCATGTTGAAAATATTTTTAAATAGTACACAATGTATTTTCCTTGAAACTCCTTTTCTCTACTATCATGTGACCCCGGGCCAGCTACAGGGATTTGCTGTCATTTTCTATCATAATATCTGTCTTATTTTTGTGGATATTGATTATTGACTGGTCTCTTATCCTTGTTAGAATTAAACTTCCTAAGGACAAAGACATCATGTTGTGGGTTATTATTGTAATACCTGCACCCACCTACCACAATGCCTAACATGTATCAGGCATTTATTATTTGATCAAAGAAATACAATCATGAACCATATATATAATCAAAAAATATGGATTATATGGATGTGTCTTGGGGATTTTGATGTCATTTATGACTTTTTTCTTTAAAAAAGATAACAAACTCAGCTAAATGTAGGACATAACAATATTTAATTTTTAGCCAAAAATCTTTAAGTGAGCCTATTGTTACTTGGGATTTCTAGGAGCTTGGGTGACTCTTAAATATATATATATATATATATATATATATATATATATATATATATAATTTTATGTGTAAAATTTATATGAAATATAAATATATTTCACATGTATGAAAGATAATCTCAAGTTCTATTTATTTGGGTAAAGTTTTGGATAATTTTCCTCTTTTTTTATTTTTAGCCTGATAAATAAGCAAGAAAATTATCTCAAAGTGCATGAATTTGAATGGCACGAATAGGAGATGCCAAGTATCACATTTTCTTGGTGAAGGTATTCTCTGAATGTCTTTGAACAATTAATTGAATGGAATGTTTATTAAATAAATTTGAAGCCATAGACAAGTTGATGAGCAATTTTGATTTTTTAAAAAGGAACCTAACAGTTTAGAAATAATGAATTTAAATTCTTATTAAAGAATATGTTTCCCTTAATTTAACTCAACATGAAAAAAAATTATATTTTTGCATTTAAAGTTGAAAATAATTTAAGTAATTTTGTCTTAAATTTAACATACTGTTTCCTCAAAACTTGTGGTACATTTAGGTGAAGTTTAGAGCACCAGAAAAACCATACTATAGAGCTTTGTGTTATATTTAAGGAAATTTTTCTCTACAAATTTTGCTTTTACAATATGAGCAAATTGTATTTTAAAAAGAATAGTTTTTAAGATCCAATTTGATTATCGTAGTCTATCCTTTATAGGTTTTGTTGGTATATGAGAATCAGATATAAATGTAGAGATTTACATGGATATTTGTTTTAAGAATTGCCTTGTGCCATTTACATGTTACTTTAATCCAAATTGAGGGTGCCTTCATTTTTGTCATCTAGTTTTGGCTAGGGCCAGTTGTTACAAATATTTCTATTTTATTTTGAATTACTATTTCCAGTTCTTCAAAAAGTATATTAAGTACTTATTCTGTAAAATTCAGAGATTAGATGTTTTCCTGTCTTATCTAAGTTTAGAACTTGGAAATAAGTTAGTAAATGGCATGACTCTATTTTCATTTTGACATATAAGCAACCCCAAACAGGCTTAATCTTAAAAAAAAAAAAAAATCACATTAGCAATGTTTGAAATGGCTTTCCTAAAATTAAACTTCAGAATGCAATGGAACTCATTGTCTTGGGTTTATTAGAGCTTTTCAGTAGAGAACTGTGGCAAGTTGAGGGGCACGGATAACAGATAACAGGAATGTTTTCCAAGGAGATTATTGAGTGGACTAGAAAATGCTGAAGGTAAATAAATTTGGAGTGTAGAAGCCAAACCATACTGGAACTGGTAGAATTAAAAATGTGGCTTTAACTTTAAAAGGAACTTAGGTTTTTAGCTTTGACATAAAAAAGAAATCTAGAAGTTATTGAATAGCTAACCCTTCATTTAAGCAGTCAAGGTCAATGAGGTGTTCAGTATCACAAGAGTCATGAAAACAAAGTGGAAAGCATTTCTTCGCTCCTTGCTCAAAGTTACTTTCTGCACCTTATGCAATTTTTGAGTGTGCAGGAGGATAGGAATATTTAATGTTGGTCACCACTAAGGAGAATGAGTCGCCTCAGATTGTAGAGATGATGTGGCACAAAGTAAGGGTTCGATAAATATGTTGAATGACAGAATTTATGAATGTTAAAATTCTGGAAAGATAATGAAACTTAAATCCTGGAAGAAGACATTTCAAGAAAATAAAGCAAACATTGTTATAAGCAATGAATCAAATCATAGAATCTATTAGAGATGGTGCTCATTGGAGCTATAAATTAAACTTAAGAAAGATTTCCATCATGTGATGGATATCAGACATGTGAAAAGAGGTGTCTGAAGAAAATAGGGTGCCATCTATAGGAATCATTTCACTAGTGGAATCAAATCATATGTATTGCACTAAACTATTTTAGAAGATTTAGGTTCTTAATAAAATGTTAAACAATTGATTTTATCGAAGTGTGGTTTTTAAACTTATTTACTTTGAACTAATTTTACATTTGTAGAAACGTTACAAAATGGTACACAAAGTTCCCATGTACCCATTCCCCAGCTTTTTCAATCTTGCATTAATTAACAGTGTTACACTTGTCAAGACCAGGAATGAACAGTGATACAAAGATATTAAATTTCAGACTTTATTTAAATTTCACCAGTTTTTCCATTTGTGTCCTTTTTCTGTTCCAGGATCCTATCCAAGATCCCATAGTGCTTTTAGTCATCATGTCACCTTTGGTCTCCAATCTAAGACAATTCCTTAGTTCAAAGAGCGTTTATTAAAAATATTTCTCTAAGGATTTTGGCTGTTGTAAAATCCATTTGATAATACAGGAGACTTAGAAAAAGTCTTATTTTAAAAATAAGAATTTTTGATCTAGAGATATTTATCCTGCTTACACATTGTATTTCCCCTCACATCTTTTAAAATAGCTTTTTAAAAAATACATTTGCAAGGTGCTTTATATGTTTTACTTGTTCTGAAAAATAGTGAGAGAGAGGAACCAATCTTTGATAATTTTCTCATTCTGCTTAAAAGGAAATTGAGCCATAGGGAAGCTATATATTTTGCCTGAACTTGAACAGCAGTCTCATGCACACTGGCAGGTAGGAAAAAAAATTGACAAGTTACACAGCAGTTGAAAAGTAAACCTCATTTTGCCAACATTTTTTTATTATGACAGCAACTGAAATTTTAAAATAAAAGACAAATCTTTTAAAATTATACTGTCTAATAAGTCAATTTTGTATTCTTTGTAAGTTGATACCTTAAATGCTTTCAAATGCTCTCAAATTGTCACATTTAAATACTATATATATCTATGTAGTTTTAAAATATATACATATATTTTTATTATTTTTATTTTTTTTAATTTTATTTATTTATTTAATTATTTTTTTGTTACAGATATTTTACCTTTTTACCCCATTGGCACCCCCCACCCCACCCCCCCTCCACCCTGTCCCCGGCTTAGTTGTCCATGTCCATTGGTCATGCATACATGCATATAAGTTCTGTGGTTTATCTCTTTCCACCCCCACCCCCCACCCCCATCCCCTCTTCTGAGGGATATCAGTCTGTGCCCTACTTCCATGTGTCTGGGTCTACTGTATTCCTCAGACTGTTATGTTCATTATATTCCGTATATAAGTGAGATCATGTGGTATTTGTCTTTTTCTGCTTGGCTTCTTTCACTTAGGATAATACTTTCCAGGTCCCTCCATGTCGTCTCAAAGGATAAGAGATCTTTCTTTCTTACCGCTGCATAGTATTCCATTGTGTATATGTACCACACTTTTTGATCCATTCGTCTACTGGTGGACACTTGGGCTGTTTCCAGATCTTAGCTATTGTAAATAGTGCTGCTATGAACATGGGGGTACATATATTCTTCCTGATTGGTGTTTCAGGCTTCTTAGGGTATATTCCCAGCAGTGGGATCACTGGGTCAAATGGAAGTTCAATTTTTAATTTTTTGAGATAGCACCATATTGTTTTCCATAGCGGCTGCACCAGTCTGCATTCCCACCAGCAGTGTATTAGAGTCCCCTTTTCTCCACACCCTCGCCAACACTTGTTGTTTGATGATTTGTTGATGGCGGCCATTCTGACAGGTGTGAGGTGATACCTCATAGTTGTTTTAATTTGCATCTCTCTGATGATTAGTGATGTTGAGCATTTCTTCATATGTCTCTTGGCCATTTGTATGTCCTGTTTGGAGAGGTGTCTATTCAGCTCCTCTGCCCATTTTTTAATTGGGTTCTTTGTCTTCCTTTTGTGGAGTTGTATGAGCACTCTGTATATATTGGAAATTAACCCCTTATCTGATACATCATTGGCAATGATGTTCTCCCATACAGTGGGTTGCCTTTCCATTTTGATGATTGTTTCTTTTGCTGTGCAGAAGCTTTTGAGTTTGATGTAGTCCCATGTGTTCATTTTCTCCTTTATTTCTGTTGCCTTAGGTGATGTATCAGTGAAAATTCTGCTCCATATGATGTCAGAAATTTTGTTGCCTACATTTTCTTCTAGAATTTTTATGGATTCACGGGTCACATTTAAGTCTTTTATCCATTTTGAGTTTATTTTTGTGTATGGTGTAAGTTGATGGTCTAGTTTCATTTTTTTGCATGTAGCTGTCCAGTTTTCCCAACACCATTTATTAAAGAGGCTGTCTTTACTCCACTGTATGCTCTTGCCACCTTTGTCAAATATTAATTGAGCGTATTGCCTTGGGTCCATTTCTGGGTTTTCAGTTCTGTTCCACTGGTCTATATGCCTGTTCTTGTGCCAGTACCAGGCTGTTTTGGTTACAGTCGCTTTGTAGTACAACCTGATATCTGGTATTGTGATCCCACCTACTTTGTTCTTCTTTTTCAAGATTGCTGTGGCTATTCGGGGTCTTTTTTGGTTCCATATGAACTTTTGAAGTATTTGTTCTAGTTCTATGAAATATGTCGTTGGTATTTTGATGGGGATTGCATTGAATCTATAGATTGCTTTGGGTAGTATGGACATTTTAATGATGTTAATTCTTCCAATCCATGAACAGGGTATGTGCTTCCACTTTTTTATATCTTCCTCTATTTCTTTTTTCAATGACCTGTAGTTTTCTGCAAATAGGTCCTTTACTTCTTTGGTTAAGTTTATTCCTAGGTATCGTAATTTTTTTGGTGCGATGGTAAACGGGATTGTTTTTTCAGTTTCTCTTTCTGTGAGTTCATCATTGATATACAAGAATGCCGTCGATTTCTTGACGTTAATTTTGTATCCTGCTACTTTGCCTAATTCATTTATTAAGTCTAATAGATTTTTGATGGAGTCTTTAGGGTTTTCTATGTACAATATCATGTCATCTGCAAATAATGACAGTTTCACTTCCTCCTTTCCAATTTGGATCCCTTTTATTTTTTCTTCATGTCTGATTGCTGTGGCTAAGACTTCCAGTACAATGTTAAATAAGAGTGGCGAAAGTGGACATCCCTGTCTTGTTCCTGTTCTTAATGGAAATGTTTTTAGTTTCTGTCCATTGAGTATGATGTTGGCTGTAGGTCTTTCATATATGGCCTTTATTATGTCGAGATATGATCCCTCTATTCCTACATTGCTGAGCGTTTTTATCAGAAATGGATGCTGGATTTTGTCGAATGCTTTTTCAGCATCTATTGATATGATCATGTGGTTTTTATTCTTCATTTTGTTTATGTGGTGTATCACGTTTATTGATTTTCGAATATTGTACCAGCCTTGCATCCCTGGAATGAATCCCACTTGGTCATGGTGAATAATTTTTTTGATGTATTTCTGGATCCGATTTGCTAGTATTTTGTTCAGGATTTTGGCGTCTATGTTCATCAGGGATATTGGCCTGTAGTTTTCTTTCTTCGTAGTGTCTTTTTCTGGTTTTGGAATTAGAATTATGCTGGCCTCATAGAACGTGTTTGGAAGTCTTCCTTCTTCTTGAATTTTTTGAAATAGTTTGAGGAGAATGGGTGTTAGTTCTTTTTTGAATGTTCGGTAAAACTCCCCCGTGAAACCATCTGGGCCTGGGCTTTTGTTTGCTGGGAGAGTCTTGATTACCTCTTCAATTTCCTTAGTTGTTATTGGTCTGTTCAAGTTTTCTATCTCTTCCGGGAATAGTTTTGGGAGACTGTGTGTTTCTAGAAATTTGTCCATTTCGCTGAGATTGTCGAATTTGTTGCCATATAGTTGTTCATAGTAGTTGTTAACGATCTTTTGTATTTCCGTGGTGTTGGTTGTTACTTCTCCTCTTTCATTTCTGATTTTGTGTATTTGGGTTCTCTCTCTTTGTTTCTTGGTGAGTCTAGCTAAGGGTCCATCAATCTTGTTTATCTTTTCGAAAAACCAGCTCTTTGTTTCATTGATCCTTTGAATTGTTTTTTTGGTCTCTATGTCATTTATTTCTGCTCTGATCTTTACTATTTCCTTCCTTCTACTTGCTCTGGGGTTTTCTTTTTGTTTGCTTTCTAATTCTTTAAGTTGTGAGGTTAGACAGTCAATTAGAAATTTTTCTTGTTTTTTGAGGTAGGCCTGTAGTGCTATGAACTTCCCTCTCAGAACTGCTTTCGCTGCATCCCATAGATTTTGTGTTGTTGTGTGTTCATTTTCGTTGGTTTCCAGGAAGTTTTTAATTTCTTCCTTGATCTCCTCGGTGACCCATTCATTGTTTAATAACATGCTATTTAGCCTCCATGTGTTGAAATGTCTTTGCATGTTCTTTGTGCAATTGATTTCTAGTTTCATGCCATTGTGATCTGAGAAGATGCTTGATATGATTTCAATCTTCTTGAACTTGTAGAGATTTAGTTTGTGTCCTATCATGTGGTCTATCTTTGAGAATGTCCCATGTGCACTTGAGAAGAATGTGTATTCTGTAGTTTTGGGGTGTAATTCTCTGTAGATATCTATTAAATCCATTTGGTCTAGTGCTTCATTTAGAGTCTCTGTTTCCTTGCTAATTTTTTGCCTAGAGGATCTATCCAGTGCTGTCAACGGGGTGTTGAAGTCCCCTGCTATGATTGTATTGTTGTCGATTTCTCCTTGGAAGTCCTCCAGAAGATTTTTAATATATTTTGGTGCTCCTATATTGGGTGCATATATGTTTATCAAGGTTATATCTTCCTGTTGGATAGATCCTTTCAATATTATGTAGTGGCCGTCTTTGTCTCTAGTTATGGTCTTCATTTTGAAATCTATTTTATCAGATATGAGAATTGCTACCCCAGCTTTTTTTTGCTTTCCATTTGCTTGGAAAATTTTTTTCCCATCCCTTCACTTTCAACCTATGTGAGTCTTTTGTTGAGAGGTGGGTCTCTTGTAAACAACATATAGATGAGTCATGCTTTCTTATCCAATCAGCTACTCTGTGTCTCTTTATGGGAGCATTCAATCCATTTACATTTAAGGTGATTATTGATATGTACTTATTTATTGCCATTTTTGTTTAGTGTGGTTCTATTTTTCTTCCCATTTCTACTGCTAATTACAGCAGTCCTTTTAACATTTCTTGCAGTGGTGGTTTGGTGCTAATGTATTCCCTTAGCCTTTTTTTGTCTGGGAAGCTCTTTATTTGATCTTCTATTTTGAATGATAGCCTTGCTGGGTAGAGTAGTCTTGGATTCAGATTCTTGTTTTTCATGACTTTGATTACTTCATGCCATTCTCTTCTGGCCTGTAGTGTTTCTTGGGAGAAGTCAGCTGAGAGCCTTATGGGGTTCCCTTTGTAGGTGACCTGTTGCTTATCTCTTGCTGCTTTTAGGATTCTCTCTTTGTCTTTAATTTGTGGCATTTTAATTACTATGTGTCTTGGTGTGGGCCTGTTTGGGTTCTTCTTACTTGGGACTCTCTGTGCTTCTTGAACTTGAATGCCTTCTTCCTTCTCCAAATTAGGAAAGTTTTCTCTCACTATTTTTTTGAATATATTCTCTATCCCTTGCTCCTTTTCTTCTTCTTCGGGGACTCCTATGATGCGAATATTATTACGTTTCCAGTTGTCCCATAGTTCTCTTAAGCTGTCTTCCTGTTTTTTAATACTTTTTTCCTTTTGTTTTTCTGATTGGTTGATTTTTTCTACCCTGTCTTCT